ATCACTCTGATGAAAGAATAGTTTGTGAGAATAGAAGTATTTACTAGAAAAGATACCAGCAAGCTTTATGCAAATAAGATGGATATATAAGATTGACAACTTCTAAATATGAGTTTTGTAATTTGCATATAAATAAATGCCATTCAAAAGTACATTAATACCAGAAGAAGTTGACTAAGATGCTTCATAATAGGTAGACTCCAGAGACATTGAGAAAGCTCTCGATAAAATAAAAATACCTAATGTAACAAGTTAAATTTAAGAAGTTATTCTCAGAAAGTTATTCTTAGAAAAAATGTAAGAACACTTCAAAAGATACAAGAAGTAGCTATTTTGGTAATTTTAGATCTTTAAAAAGTCTTCTAAGTGAGTATCCTTAGTGTCTCTAAAATCTCTAAGAAAAATTGAAACTTCAAAACTTTTTTTTTTATTTTTTAGCATATATATATTATGCATATCATTCATATAAAATCTATATACCACCTATATACCACCCATATAGCATACATATGTAACATAAGAAAAGTTTCAATTTTTTTTCTAGAACTTTATTTTTACTAAAGTTACTAGGAAAATTAGGGACAAACAAAGAAAAACATAATCAATAAGCTTAAAATTCCTAAAAATGATACTATAATTGTCCCTAAACAATGTTCTTAAAAAAATTTCCCTAAGAATACTAAGGATAGTTTGTAAAAAATCATCCTAATTTATATCTTAATATGTCTAAAAATATATCATTAAAGGTAATATAAATGCATTTAAATATTTCAAATTTTGAAACATGAAAATAACATACTTATACTAATGCAATAGTTGGATTAAAAAATGGTAGGATTAGTGATCCTGGCTTAATCTATAAGATATGAGCCTCTATTGTAAGTTACACTGTGATAGTCACAGGTTCAAATCTTAGCTGAGGCATAAAACTAGATGATTTTATAAGAATTTCATATGTAACTAAATACGTAAACGTTTAGATTAATAAACGTTAAATACTGATTAATCAATCTATCAATTAATATTAATCATACCTAAATACTGAATTTGAAGAATATGTAAATGCAAATGAAACTAGGAATCGACAGAAACTTGACCTTTGCTAACAGATCTATAATGGATACTATTTCACATCTTCAAATTCAGAGGCTCTTACACAAGTAAGGAAGTAATTAACTAGTAATTGGTAGATTAGATACTACCTTTAAGTAGCTATGATAATAATAGACTGCATTGCATTACTGCAATACTATCTAATCAAACTATCACTAGGGGTAGAGGCTAGGTTCAATTCCCAGGTAAATTTGACGCTATGAGTATAAAACTACCATCTATATAAAAAACTCAATTCTACAGTCTTGATACTCATCAATAAGATCAAACCTTATAAATTAGATTGGTAAAAATAGGGTGTAACAAGCTCTATAGTTGAAATGAGTCCTTTATCTAAAGGTAATAATATCCAATAAGGTCTAGTGAGCCTGAAATGAAGTAATAAGCTGTTGACGGTAGTCTATACTAGGTGATAACTGTACAGGAATATATTTTTAAGCAAGTTACTATACTCTTTAAATAGGATTAGAAGACTTAGAGAGATTACCTAAAGTGAGATAAAACTTGTCTCAGATTGAGATATGCCTTCTGCTAATTTTTAGTCACCGCACATTAATAGAAAAAAAAATTGGTTACAAAATAGTGCACTTCTGATAATCAAATAGGCTGGCCATAATAATACATATTGCATCATCAATTCTTAAACCAACTGGAAATACAATATGAATGCACTCTAATAATACAAACTTTAGAACATAAAATTAGCATAATTATATCAGTAACAATTAGACAATAATTGGATTGCAAAATGATATGTTCTAGTAAGTGAATGGGTTGGCTATACTAATACATAATTTTATTTTTATGTTTTAAATTTTCTGACCTGCAGGTCAGTGAAAGTCATCACTAATCGAAATAAGAAGTTTTAGTCATGTGACAAATTGACCAAATTTCGGCTGATGTGAAACCGATTTCGATCAAATTTTGATCATCAATAACATTCGTCTAAAATTCGCTCATAACTTTCGACTGAAATTTCGTCACAATTTCGGACGGTATTAAGAATCGTTTAAAAATCGGCTGAGATTCAAATATCTTGTTTATGATCGATTGGTTGTCATCAAATTTCGTAAATTTTGGTATAGATAAAAATAAAAAATTGTTAAATTTAATTATTAAAAAAAATAAAATGTAAAAAAATCGGCAAATCTTATTCAAATATTAATAAAAATATAAATCAATAAAAGTCTACAGTAAAAAATTTATCGTATATGATATTTTCTGTCGATCGGGTTAATAGCCAAGTATTTCACTGCATTTCGCCAATTTGAAATTTTATATTTTACTAGAACAAATCGATCAAGAATATGATGAACAGGAATTATGCAGTCACGACTTTCAGAATAAAAGCCATCATGCCACAATTCGACGTTACATGTCTCTTCTTTGTCATCAACACAAAAATGATATCTTACATTTTTTGATTCTACGTGACGATACTATCGAATATATGCTAGATGATGTTCTGATGGTCCATCGGGCAAATTAATTGTATATGTGAAGAAATATTGAATTTGCCTGGGATAGCAGTCAACACTACTATCACTTGTAATAAATTTCGCCTGTATAAACGAACTTTTTATGTGACGTGCTGATAAGGCAGAATCAAAAATTTCTGACCCAATTCGACATTGTCTGAATTTATTTATCTTAACACGAATGATTACTGAATTTTCCGCTTCTTCCCCAAACGGCTTTCGAAAATTGTACATTTTATAGGTTGCAGTATAGTATTCTACCATTCAGTCGAGCATTTCAGCCATTATTATAATATCTTCAGATGAAGGTCTTAATATTTTACCTGGAAATACTTCCCTTCTAGTAATAGCTGAGTTCTGAATATTTTTAGAATGGAGTAAAAATCGATACATCTCATCAGAAGAAAACTCGTCTGTTGCAGATAAAAATCTGACATTTGGCCAAATTTCAAGTAATTCGATACCCTTCGTTTCTATTTCAGAACTTTTAAACATAATCTGTGTGTTGAACATCATTCTTCGCATAAGTTCTGGTTCAATATGTCAGTAGCTATTTGATAAAGAACCTAAGAAATATAAATTTTAGCAGATTATCAAATGAAAATTAATAAAAGCCAATAAAAATATATAAATTTGATATACCTAGCACCCATTCATATGCTCAAAGGAAAAACATCAGAAAGTGTATAGAGGCTATAATCAAATGAACACGTGTCCAAATGAAGTGACAAATGCAGATTCGTCATGATTTTGTCACGGCCGTAATTATTCTCTATTAGTTTCACTATTTCGATTAATTTCTGATGGGCTTCTCTCATTGCATCAACTTCAATTATTCTATTAACAAAAAGCTGACAAACTCTCACGAAATATGTGAGAACTTTCCTATCTTCATATCCCAAATGTTCTCAAAGCGAAATAGTCACATAAATCGTAAAAAAGATTCTCCACTGATCGGCAATGAAATTCAAAAAACCTTCACCACAGTATATTTTCCTTAGAATCCGACCGATATCTGCTGGTACAGAGAATTGATTCATCTTTTTCTATACTTCGTTTAGAATATTCGTCATTAATATTCCTTGATCTATCCAAATTCGCTTTATGATCCACTTTGCAATACCCAAAAATAGGCAATGCATTAGATCGACTGTTGTAAAGCGAATTGGATCAAAATACGATAGGTGTAGCAATTCAGTTCATCTTACGCCTCTTTGCTTTACAAATCGTTCTCTTGAGGCTTTTGAATTACAACATCGCCACCCAATCGCATCTTGACGATGTTGATTCAGATTCTTGACAACAAACCATTCATCCATGTTATTCATGCCGGCAAAATTGTGCTTTCCTTCCTTATAATTCGCCTTTTATTCACACCTGTGACATGATATAAGGGCTGAAATGTGACCACAAATTTTCCTAGCAGCAGAAATGTCACATGATATAAGTATTAATACTGCATGAACTCTCTTCCCATCTGGACATTCGTTTGTGTTCAAAGTTATCCCATTCTAGAGTGATTCCAAGTCGTTGACAATCAGCGCCAAATAGTGGTTAATTTTATGTAAACTAACTTCATCTGGCCCAGGTAATAGACCAAGAAGTAGTAAGTTTTCATGTTAAAATCGAATATCGCACGATAAATTGCAAATGGCCGCATATATTGCTCCTGTGCTATGTATTGTACCATCATATGGCTGAAACCAGTCAAGGTTCAGCATTAATCTGAGATGTGAATCAGCTACCTCAGATTAGAAAAAAACAATCAAATCATTGTATTTAAAAGTTTTCCAAACTTTTCCGTCATAAATATCAGTCAAAATATTATCAAAATTTGACTGATTAGCCCAATGTCTAAGAGAACTTTTGAAACCAGGTCGACGAAACATTGTTGCCAATTGATTATTAATTCCGGCAAATGGATATATCAATTCTGGTTAAATTATAATACCATCTAATAATCTTATTTGTTAGGATAATAGTTCTTAGCACAAGTGTAATCGACGGTAAGACGAATTGGGAAACTTGACATGATGACATTTCATTATCATGAGAGTTTCGTCTTGGCGAAAGTTTTCTACTTCATCCCTTTCATAAAGCTTATGACATTTTGGGCAAAGTACAAATGTTTGAAATTGGTCTTTCAAGCCAAGCTTATTTCTTGCTGTGTAAAGCGTATCTGGAAAATTGCTAAAATCTTCTCCTCCAATCTCAATCAACACCAGCTTCATGAATTTTATTAAAGACTGGTTGCTGTTTCTGGTATGTTGAACCTTTTTCGAAAGTTCATTATCCATAAGAGTATCCATAAAAATCAGTCATTATAGTTTGAACGTGTAACATTTGCGTCTTGAAATAATTTAAACAGAGGACATGAATAGTTTTCAAAAATTTCACTCGGCCTAATATTTACCGAATCGTCACTATCATTATCAGTGCTTTGTTCAGGCTCAGATTCAGATTGCTCAAAAACATTAACGTCAAAATTTGCAGAAAGTTTTGTATATCTTGAAATACGTTCTTGAAGTAAAAGTCAAAATCAATATTGTCATATGAATTGCCATCTGTTATATCCTGAACTTCTTCTATATCAACAGACCGTTTGACATCTTGCATCAAAGCTTCATTTTTAACACTCGATACCGAATGTGATGATTCATTAGTATCGATGTCTTCATAAACTTCTTGACTTGTATCCATAGTAGGAATTTGTGATGAAAATTCATCATCATGTCTCGCTTTTGTACGAGGATCAACTAATTTCCCTTGCATTTGCCGCAGTGACATTGAACTTTCGCTCTTTTTCTTTAGTTTTTTTAGTAACTAGTTGAGAATCTTCGTCAATTATGTTTGATAATTTTCTATTGCGTGTCATTTTGTAGATTCAGTGAACAAGTTCTTAGTCACATTAACCATATATATATATAAATTGAATCATTAAATAAACTATTTTTTTTCAAAAAGGTAAATTAATTCTAATTGATATTTGACTCATAATTTATTGATATTTAATATGAACTATATATAATTTTAATTGATTAACACAGCAAAAAAATTATTTTTTAATTTGATAATATTTAATATGTACTATATATATGAATTTATTGATTTTAATTGAAAAAGTTTATTTTTAATCTATATGATTTT